TAAGTTATAAATAAATATAAATTAAAGATGAGAGCTTGGTCTTGTAAATATTGTGGACCATAATGCCTTTAACTAAAATAAGGTCATAATTATTTGTTCAAAGGCATAGACCTAATAACTGTTTTTAATGTACAATGAAGAAGACAAGAATAATGTATGCATGTTATCACAACATTCCAAGTTAGAACACAATTTACAAAAACACATATCAATAATTACAAAAACACATATCAATAATTACAAAAACACATATCAATAATTACAAAAACACATATTAGTAATTGAAATAACTAGAAAAAAAAACACTTTCCATCATGGTTCAAATACTCCAATCTTAAATTTAAAAAAAACTAATAAAGTAAATGAACTTTGCATTAAGTTTAAAATTATTTCATCTTTAATGATATTTTGTTTGACCTTCATTACAGTTCCTACGATGTGTATTGTGTTTGTGAGATGCTAGCTACAAGCTTGAGACCAGAATAACTAAAGAAATATTTAGAGTAGTTTTTTTATTTCAAAAATAATATTCAGCATTTTCAAAGACAAGAGTCTATATTACTTTTCAGCTTAAGACCGTCAAAATTTATTAAAGTCACGTATATAAAACTTAAGATTGTAAGATATTTCAATAAAAAAATGTCTTAATGTATTCTGATGTTAGGAACAGTTGTACATCTTTTTTTTTTTTTTTTTAACATTGATATATTAATATAATAAATAGAGAACCAGATTCATAAACAAACTACAACCATTATTTCTTATGCTGGTTAGTTAAATTATAATTGGCATGTAAGCCCCAAGTTGTATATAGACCTTTTAAATATTTATTAATAAATTTCTTCAAAGGGAACATTAAGTCTGAGATTATTTTTTCAATTGGTACAAATTAAACTACTATTTATTTTCTCTCTGTATGTGGAACTGTTTTTTATTGCACCATTTTCTTGTAAGTTTCACATAATATGTACAAGAATCAATGTTCATTTTTTTGTTTGTAATTGTACAGAAATAACCAAAGTAATCATCAGATACAACTTGTTACTTCTTTAGGCAAACATGATGATTATTAAATAATTATTTTTAAAAAAATTAAGGCATTTTCTATACTTAGCTATAATTTTGCATTTTCTTTTTCAAAAACACTAAATAAGCTGGGGAATAGGCCAGATCAACATAAAGTTGGAAATGTATAAAAAAAAATATTAAAAACAAAATAGCTAATGCCTATATTACTTTTATAAAACAAGACATTAAATTTTTATTATTTTTCACATAAATTATGTTTACACAAATTATGTGATATTGTTTTTAGAATGTGATGCCTACATTTCTTAAATTCACTTCTTTCAGTTTGAATTTCATTTCACACTGATCTTTTGAATGATTCCTTTAAAATAAGGAGATGGTAAAATTACTTTTATGGAATAAATATACACTGAACCAGGAGAGGATTGCCTGGTTGTGCAGTATGCACACTGGAATGTCATCTTGGGTCCTGGGTTCATTCATGAATTGCTGCCATTCCCCATCATCCAGCAGGAAGTAGATTATCTTCAACTACAAAGGAACATCCAAAACAAGCACACATTTTTTTAATCAAATGTTTTTTTAAATATTTTCCATGTTGTAGATAGAAGTCAACTTACACAACCATCATCTATGTCTCTTTCTGTCATGGTGGAAATTGTGTTTTTTTTCCATATTCATAAAGGCCAATAGATCAAAGCCATTTTTACATTTTCACCAAACTCAAAACTTTCTCAAGTTTGTTTTTTTTCTCAGTCCAACACACTGTGGTGTCAGTACACCTTAATGGATAACTTGTTTACAAAACTAGGTCTGGTCTCTGTTGACTTTTAAGTCCACCTTCTCTCTCTCTTTAGTTCTAGCTATAATGAGGAGAGCATAGATTTACTTTCTTGCTTTGATAAGTGTCATGTACACACTTTCTTTTTTATGGTGGAGCCTTGAAATGTACAAAAAAAGTATCAGTATGTTAAATGATTTAATTTTAACCATAGATAGAACTCTAGGCATTTAGAAGAGCAGCAGAGCTTTTAAAACTCAATTTTCAGGTTCAACATTATTTATTTATTAGCATAGCGAAATATTGTATATATAAGCCCATACACAATTGTTTGATTCAGTTTAGCAGGATTTCACTACCTCTCTGAGCAGTAGTGCTAGATTAGTAAACAGAAAGACATGGTACTATCTGCACTAAACAAATGTATTCAAATTAAAGTTAAACTTTCAGAATTTCATTCTTGAGACAGAAATTGTTTCTCTATTACAACTGGTCTGTCTTTTGAGATAGATTGAAGAAAAAAACAAATGCCTTTAAATGTGACTGATTAGATTTAGTGGGAAAAAAAAATGTAACAAAAATAAATGACCTTCTAGTTAGTGCCGCCCACTGAAAATATCCTTAGAATTTCTATTTCTTTATAGGCTATTAAGTTAAAGATATTGGCGGAAAAAAATCATCTTGGATTTCATAAGTGCTGTTGAACTCAAATAACCACAGATCATAAAGTTGGAAACATGAGACTCTATATAGATCAGTGGTTCTTAACCCTGTTTATGTCACACTTTATTGCATTCCCTTGTGTTTTGCTGACCCCTCAAACCTTAAATTATTTTCATTTCTACTAAATTAGTTTTCAAAGTTAAACACTTTATTTGAGATATTAAGAATAAATTCATTACGAAAACATATATTTGTTGAACCCTAGAAATTAATAATACTCAGCCATGTTTCATTTACATGTTTCGGATGTTCATTCAGAAAATTATTACATCATTGCCTAAGCCTCTCGAAACACAGCAGAGGAAGCAGAGAACGTCGTTGTGCTGGTTGCATAACACCTAGCTTGTTAACCTTTGGCCATAGAAACATGACACCTTAACATCATCTGCCCCATAGATCGTAAGGTCTGAAATGGAAACGTTACTATCACAAACGAAGAGATTAGAGACAGGGTTACTACAGCGTTGGGACCCCACCTTGACATGGTAACTATTGTTTTAAAAAAAAACGCAAACTAAAATTCAAAGGCCTACGGAGCTCGCAAAAACCTTCGTTCAGGGAACAGTACCAGGAAGATGAAGAAAAAGCGACTGGAAGACAACATAAAATTATCGACGGTCCTGCCATTGAAAGAGGTTCTATCCAAGGCAAAAGACAGGAATGGAGAAATACGGTCGACAAATCGTGTGTGGTGCTCCAACAGACTAGGGGATAGGTGAAGGTGAAAAAGGACTACACACACACACACTTCCTAACAATGCGTTTGCAGCAATTTTGTCATCCAGATAAGTTAGAGACGTAGATTTATTAGACATTGAAAATTTATCTCGATTCTTAAGACCAACGAGTACTGACTTGTTTTCGGATGGTTTTGGGCAACCCTTATGGAACCTCCGATGAACACTAAAATGGTTCTCCCAGGTTTAGAACCACTGCTTAAATCATGGACTAGAAAATGTATGTCGTGTTCTTGTGTTTCATTAATACATTCTCTGGTGCGGAACTTTTATGCGTGTGTGGTTTATCCTTACTTATTCACTCAGTTCTCCTTGACCCCAAATATTAAACAGAAAAAATATTCGCATTAAGTGTAAAGCTTAATGCATGATTGATCTTTCTCATAGTGCATTGAAGAATTATACACTTACCATAGTTTCACAAGCATTAACCAAGCAGCTAATTTATTTGTTGGCCTATAGATCTAGCACGAGTACTGTCGTACCCCTAAATTCCATTTTGGATGCTTTTTAGTGTGGCAAGTACACATAGCATAGCAATTACTACCGCATTCTCTATAACCAGTTGGCGTAGTTTGTCCTAAAATGTTTACGTAAGACGCTCCCAAGACTGTAACCCCCCTCCACTCCCCCAGCTAGGGGGGTATAGGCAATAAGTCTGTCATCTCACTCTTCGCCTTGTCACAAGTGTTTGTAAGTATCCAGTGCTTCAAACATTCTCCTGGCGTTTACAACGCATCATTTTCTCCTGCTAAGAAGCGCGCAGATCACATCAAAGTTAATGAAGTGTGAGGAACATTTGATGCAGTCGGGAAATAAAGTTTGAAATGGTCGTCGTGATGATCATTGAGTTCAGCTAGTCGTCTTATAACGGGCCTGTTCATTCAATAGAACAATATATATATGGGACATCATTCAGGCGAAATTTGACAGTTATGACGTATGTGAGACGTGTTGTACAGGGTGGCCAAGTGAAGAGGCTCTGGGTCATGCTGAGCTTGACATTTGAATCGAGCGCTCCAGGATGTATGAAATGCTTAGTATGTTGCTATTCATTATATTCTATTTATATTATTTTTAAATAAAAATTATAATATAATATAATTTACTTTTCGCTAAGTACATCCTGTATTTACTACTACAATCATACCAGACCTCTTAACTTGGCTACCCCGTATAATCGGATTGTCTAAGACGTATCGAAATTTCTTAAAAGTTCATATTGAATCTGGTTGCAGAGCCTCTCGTGAAAACACAATGAAAGGTCCTACTTAATTTATTTTTTATAATGTGTTTTTACCCAGCAAAAATGGAGTTAATCTACAAAGCAAATTCAACGGATATTTTGATCCTATATAAAAAAAATAATAAAACATCGCCTGTTTGACAAACGCTGAGCAGTGAATCCAAAGGCCGATACTTGATCATGATGAAGGTGAATCTGTAGAAACCAGTGAATCCAAAGGCCGATACTTGATCATGATGAAGGTGAATCTGTAGAAACCGGTGAATCTGTAGAAACCAGTGAATCCAAAGGCCGATACTTGATCTTGATGAAGGTGAATCTGTAGAAACCAGTGAATCCAAAGGCCGATACTTGATCATGATGAAGGTGAATCTGTAGAAACCAGTGAATCCAAAGGCCGATACTTGATCATGATGTAGGTGAATCTGTAGAAACTAAGCAAAACCAAATAACTTTAAAAAAAAAAAAAGTTGAAGAAAAAACCCTGAAGATCACTACAATAGTTTATTATTTGACCGGGTTATTTACACAAACTGATGTGTAACAAAACAATGAAACAAAAAGCCAGCACAAAATTTATATAGGTCATGCCCAACAAATGTACATGTATATCTCTAGGACAACTGATAAACAAAATAGCTGAGTCCAATAAGAGAGTTACAAAGTGATGACACTATCCTAGTTCACAAGTGCCCAGGTCAATGGTGTACTAACAAAAGGATGAATTTATTCAACATGCTGTTGATGATTAAAAAAAACAAACTTGAACAACTAAGAAGGTGTAACCTTGCAAAGAAAATCTGATCAGTCTAGAAAAGGTTGTAGCAATTATTGATGTTAATTGAATATGGTCCAAACACAATGAAGCAGAGACAGAGTTTTACCCACCAGACACATTAATTTGGATGTTTGTTTTAATTAACCTTAAACACAAATAGTTTAACCAGGGAGGGGGGGGGGGGGGGATCTCGTAAACCAAATTAAATAATTACACGGAAAATTGGCCAACTGGTAATGTCATCTACATTTCTGCAAAGCTCTGATTATCAACTGTCAGTATCAAAGGTCTCATAGCTATATCTTGTGACCATATTTACTCATTTTAAAGACATTTAAAAAAAAATTGTTAAATCTCAAACAAAAACTGGTCAAGTGATTCATCTTTGAACACAGCAAGTTCTTATTTTAAATATTCTAGTCACACACAATGCTTAGATATGCACTTCTAACCTTTTAGCTGCAGAGTCATTATGTCATAAAAATATTCAAAAACGCATAAATTGTGTGGCATCTATTTAAAAAAAAAAAAAAAATATTGTAACATCTCTGTTTACAACTATACAAAGAGTAAAGTATTGGCCATTAAAAATGTTGTGTACATGATAAAATCCATTACAAAATAAAAATATCTGCTTTAACATTGCCACAGGTTCAAAAAAAAAAAAAGGGAAATTAATTCTCTACAATAACCAACAAAACAAATTGAATTAGATGTCGGCCACTACAAATAGGATGAGCACTATCAAAATGATGATGAACTGTTTAGATCAACACATGTACATATTTACACAATAAGCCCACTCAGGTAACACTATTTTCTTAGGACTTCACTTGGAGAGGAATGATAACATGGTGAATTAGATGTGGTGAACATTGAACCATAAAAAAAAATTTAACTTGAAGAGAGTTGAGACAATACACAATCTGATGTACAATGGCCAAGTAGAACAACAAATTTCCATAATACACAATCTGATGTACAATGGCCAAGTAGAACAATATACTTGAAAACCAACCTTTTTTTTTCTTCTAATAGCTGCCCAAACTTCACACATACGAACTTACACATTCCATACAGTGTTTTGTTTCAATAGAATGGTTTGTTTCTGATTCTATAAATTTTTTATTTCTGCTTCTATATTTTTTTGTTTCAATGAAATGTTTTTGTTTCTGTAAAGCGTTTTATTTATGTTTCTATAAAATGTTTTGTTTCTTTTCGGTTTCTAGTGTTTGTTTGTTTCTATAAAGGGTTTTATTTCTATAATGTTTGTTTCTGTTTTTCATAAGTGTGCTTCTGTTTCTATGAAATGTTTAATTTCTGTAAAGTGTTAGTGGTATAGCTCAAGACTTATGCTGTGTACACTACAGCATTAGTTTAAAGAAACAACTGCATAACAAACACTTTAAGACAATGAAATATAAGGCACAGCCCAAATCTTGACATTGAAAAGGACACACTATTCTAATGTTCCCCAGCCTGGAGACAATCTATGACCTAAATAGTTTCCCCTTCCCCTGTTCTCTTTTCAAGACTGGCAAGAACTTTAATGGTTTTTTGATAAGAACTCAAGTCCTCTATTTACATACAAAGACAAATATTATGCAGCACTGTTAGGCTTCAACTAGAGCAGAACAAATATAAACATAGATATCACAAAGAAGAAAGGTTGAATCATTACTACCAAGAAAAACTAAAATAAGCCTTTTGACCACTAGAAAAAAAAAAAAAAAAAAAAGTGGTTTTCATCAACATATGTAAACAATTTCTGACACTGACTAAATGAACTTAAAAGAAATATTCTCTATAATCATTTTAGTACCAATCAAAAGAACACACTTTCAAAATAAATGTTATAAATATATATATATAAAAAAAACTACAACAATAATTTAGCAACTTTTTCTTATAACAAGTGATACCAAAAATATAACAACATCCGAGAAAACAAAACATCTAGTTGCAAATCTGCAATGGACCAAAACCGTTCTTCCATTTCTATTGACACTGAACACAGCAACAAATTGTGACACATTCAAACTCAATGATTTTGTCCAACAATCAAACCTTGACATTGATGCAATGCTTTGTACAAACAACTTTCAGCTGAACTACCCAATAATGACAATGATCAATGAGATAAGAAAAAAAACAACTAAAGAATAATAGAATTAGACTGATTTTGAATAGTAGCGAAAACAAGAGAAAAAAAAAGGCTTTTAACGGAAAGGCACAGGTATTAAAACAGTCTATATACAAAATAAAATTTAAAAAAAACAAAAAAAACTAGTTTAAACAAAAATGAAACTGAAATGAACAAAAATTGCGGAAACAGCCTCTTTTAAGTGAGGAGTGAGGACTTCACTACTGGTAGCTATTACAATATGATGAGTACATTATGCATTGCCCCCCCCCCCCCCCCCCCCCCCCAACTTTTTCTTCCTTCCTCCCTAATATTTCTTCAGGCTGACATGATTGGGTTCAAAATAAATTGCAGCTGCCAATAGATACAAATGTGATGAGTCAGACTTACTTTAGCTCAACAATGTTTTAATCCAAAGGTCAACATATAAAATTTGAAAGCCCAAAAAACTCCTTTAGTAAAGTAAATATTAACTATTACTTATTCTAATGTAAGGTACCGTAAAAAATGTTTGCAAATTCTTTTTATCTATTTTTATGACTTTGACTTCAAAAAACTAATTTAAAAATACAGTTATATTTTGTTGATAACAAATATTTTAAAAGACAAATATCAAAGACACAGGAGTTTGTACAGTAAGAGAACCTCCTTACATTAAATACAATTTCAGAAAACTACTAATGACATACTCTGTTAGCCCTTAAAACTTCAATATTTCTTTTAGGCTAACCTTAAATAAATGAACATAAAATTGCAAACATTAATTTAAAAAAAAAAAACATTTTATAAACATTACAGGGCATACTTCATAGTAAAAACATTAATCAAGCATTTATGAATTAATTACATAGCATTTATTTTTCACACAAACGTGTGCATGTTAACTTAACAGCAATGCAAGTATTTTCAATTGTTGATAATTCTGACTTTAAAACTAAAAATAATTTTTGTTTAAACGTTCTAGAATTTAATTGTAAGCATTCTATAATTTCACTTCCATAAGCAATAGATCACAAGAGTATTGTGTAGCTCTTTGAAAGAATTTCAGAGCATAGAGGGAATGGAAATAGTGTACCTAGAACAAGCTTGAGGCACGAGACACCAAGGCAGACCACAAAGAAGATAGCTTGATGATGTAGATGTAGGTTACTAGCAACCCCAGATTCTGGCAAAGCTTAGACATCTGAATGGATAGATGTGTTGAAGCAGGCTAGAATTCCCCATGAGCTGGAGAGCCACTTGGATGAAGGGATAAATATGTCCAGCACAATACCCAGTTCAACAACTAGCAACTTGTAATTTATCCAGATATGTTTCTTTTTCTCCTTATGAGACCTAACAATCAATTGTTTTAGGTTACCTTTGCTTTACACAATCTCTAGTAGATAATGAAAAGTTATAACATGAGAAGTAACTATGTGAGGGTAGATAGCCCAGCACTTGTATAGTTTTACTTAACACACACACACTTACTTATGTGTTTACACACAGACACTAAAAAACAAGGAGTTGAATGTTTCTATCACATGGACACTTGAGGCAGTTGTCTAACTTCAAAGAGCATATTCTAAGTTAAATTCAATTAGATTTGTTGGACAAATTTTTGGAAGGTTTCCAAATGTAGAAATGAGAATCATTGAGTACCGGTACACAGATTTCTTTCTTGATTCAATGCTTCTAGCTTGGAATTTGGTTGAATTAGTTGTTTCTTTTTAAGGGTGTGCTCATGGTTTGAAGATTAAAAAGAATTACATCCAAAGTGACAATGGGAAGGGCGAGAAAGACATGAAAGAATCATAAAACAAATGAATTTGAGCAAACATTTGAACAAAGTATTTTATACATGAACAGACATTTTCATTTCCTGAGCTTATAAAAACACACAACAGAAACTAGTGACTATGGTCTCTTCAGCAACTCAGATCTCACAAATTGTAAATAGAATAGAATACAACCTTGTATAAGGAGACTTGCTGATAGCACTCAATCTTTTCACAAAATGATTGCAGTCTCTCCCCCAAAGTTATTTTGTTTTATTTATGCTATAAACAACAGGGATGTACCAGTCATAGAACAAACTTTGGTGAATGTTTAAAGTCAAACATAGAGCACATGATCAACATGAAAGAGAAGTATAAAGAAAGGACTTTACTATCAAAGTTTTGTAATAGCCAATGACTTAGCCAGGACACATTTTTATTTTGAAAGTAAATTGATTATTTGAAACAAAATAGCACATAAATTCTTAAATTTTAAGTCTTGATATAATAGATTTAACAAGATTGAAATTTAGCCTCCAAGTTATTTATAAACTATTGAAAACCAAAAAATGTAAAATAAATTAATTACACATAATTTTTACAAAAGGGGGAATGTTTTAGGTGACAGAGTATTCAGCTTTTATTTTCTAAAGTGAAGATAAAATAATTAGTATAATGTTCACATGACTATAATACACAGCACACCTCTGTAATACAAGAATTGAAACTAATTAAAATCTTGTAATGACAATCAATGTTTCTTTATAATAAAACAATGACACAAAGTGACACAAAAGAATTTGAACCAGATATGTTTCTTAAAAATGTTGAACATACATTGGCATTTATCAAGAGTTTTTCAAATACTACGAGCCTTTAATAAAAGTAAGCTATAAATAGTCAATAGAAAAGCTTGAGTGAATTTCTCACTGAATCTGTATTATGTCGAGGATAAGAATTCACACAGTATATGAACTGAAATGCGTAAAAATATAATATAGTGAAGTCCAAGTAAATTCCTTTTAAGACCTAAAGATAAAAAAGATTTCCTGTAACTCAGGGTCGTGTGTGGCCAGCACATTGAACTTCCTTAATTTTTCCAAACAAATATGCAACTAGTCTGAGTAGACTCAGAAACATCCTGAAATAAATATCCCAAGCCTCCACCGGGATTTGAAATGACAATTTAGTTAGGTAACGAAGCCCCACCATGCATCAGAAAATATAAATCAAGATTTTAAAATACAAAACAAGTTGTAAAAAATAATTTTAACAGAATATACAAATTTGAATTATTGCAAATCTAAAATTTAGAAAAAAAAACCTATTAAAAAACTTGAAAAGACCGGACAGATAGAATAGTTAGAGAGAGAGATGTCAAAAAAAAAAGGGGGGGGGGGGGGGTAGAAAATGATCTACAAAAAAAACATTTTACCAATAGACTCTGCAAAAGCCTAAAGAGTAATATCTAACAAGTTTATTCATTATTACTGCATCATAATAGGAGCATGCAAAGGCATGTTTATAAGAAAACATTATTGATTAGGTGAAGATTCCCAGTTTACTGCCTTGTCGCTAAAGTACAGTATAGTAACGGCACTGTAGACCTAAATAAACATAATAGAAAATAAAAATGTACATACAATTGATGACTGATGGTAAAGCTTCTAGGATGTGAATGAAGAACCAAAATTGAGTATAGAGTTTGCTCAAACAAAGCATACTAGACCTGATAACAACATAAGCCAGTCTGTTGAAACAGCTAGTCACAACACTGACTACATGGAACTCCAAGACAAAGTAAAAATAGCAAATATTTACTAGCATTATTGAATACACAAGAGAACATTATTCTTATAACCGTATTCACATCACAATTTTTACATTAGAGTGATAGGGTTCACTAACATTTGACTGGGTTATATATATTTTTTTAAAAGTCCATATTTATGCCATACATATTTTTTTTATTATACTAGTTTTATGTACAGCCTGAGCGATTCTAAGTTAACAAGAATGTTTTGGTTACACTAAAATGTAGGATGAATATTTAAAAAAATGCTGCCATCGATATTTTATCCAATATACTTTTTTTTTTTTTAGTTAAAATAAAAAACAAAATCTTAGAATCTGACCAAAACAATATACTGAGGTTGAATCTGACCAAAACAATATACTGAGGTAAAAGTGCCTATTCAAATGAACCTACTTTATTAGTGCACAATGTTAGTGAGCCATTTTCAGGAATCACAATATCCCAAATGATATATGTTCATATTTTAAAACTGCAATAGACAAACTCAAAGCACTCATGTAAAAAGGCAATATGTTAGTTTGTATTATGCAAAGGCCATTGAATAAAATCTTCTACAAAATATGCAGTAGTTTGGTTGTACAAGTCACAGAGATGAGAAATAGTTGGCAAAGTTTTTCTAGAGACACAAAATCTCTTTCAATTCAACTTCTGAGAACCACCAGCTTAAATTTTGTTTTCGCTATCTTTCCTAGCTGAAAAAGTGAGTGCTGTCTGTCACAAGTTTATCAGCTTAGAATTTCTGCCATCACATTAATAGGAGGCCACTCCTTATCTCTCAATGGGGAAGAGTATATCTCCATTAAAGGAAATAAGCACAAACATGGGCTCTCTTCATTTCACTAAGTTATGAGACTGTTGAATCCATTAACTTATGTTGTACAACTCAGTTTGAATGTTTTTGGACATCTTGTAAAGCATACTGCAACCACAGTTACTTCCACTAGTAGAGTCTGTGCTAACGTCTTGAAGGAATTTTTCTAGCACACTAAACCAATGTCCCCACCACAGATAATCCTTC